CAGAAATTGGCACAAATGCTACTGTGTCAGGGTTGTAGCCAATTTTCTTAATGTAAGTGCTGACTTCTTTAACGATTTCCTCGTATCTCTTCTGGCTGTAGGGTGGTTCAGTGGAATCCATCTTGTTAACACCAACAATTAGTTGCTTCACACCCAGTGTGTAAGCCAGAAGGGCATGCTCACGGGTCTGCCCATTCTTTGAAATACCAGCTTCAAATTCACCAACACCAGCGGCAACAATCAGGACAGCACAGTCAGCCTGAGATGTGCCTGTAATCATGTTTTTGATAAAGTCTCTGTGTCCTGGGGCATCAATGATAGTCACATAGTATTTGCTGGTCTCAAATTTCCACAGGGAGATGTCAATGGTGATACCACGCTCACGCTCAGCCTTCAGTTTATCCAAGACCCAGGCATGCTTGAAGGAGCCCTTTCCCATCTCAGCTGCCTCCTTCTCAAATTTTTCAATGGTTCTCTTGTCAATGCCACCACATTTGTAGATCAGATGTCCGGTAGTGGTGGACTTGCCCGAATCTACGTGTCCAATGACGACGATGTTGATATGAGTCTTTTCCTTCCCCATTTTGGATTGTATGGGCGGTTTTCACAACACCTGTGTTCTGGCGGCAAACCCGTTGCGAAAACTACCATTTCATTTTTTAAAGTAACATTTTAGAACTAAAAAAGACTTGGGTGCCTGTAGCTCAGTCAGCAGGGTACTGGCCACATACACCTAGGGTGGCAGGTTCCAACCTGGCCCAGGCCTGCTAAGCAACAATAACAACTACAACCAAAAAATAGCCAGGCATTGTAGCAGGCACCTGTAGTCCCAGCTACTTGGGAGACTGAGGCAAGAGAATCACTTAAGCCGGGGAGTTTGAGGTTACTGTGTGCTGTGATGCTACAGAACTCTACCCAGGGTGACATAGTGAGACCGTCTCAAAACAAAAAAAAAGGGTAATAAATGCTGTGTTGTCATTGTTTCTCACCCCTTGGCGGCATGGAGGAGTGCTGTTCTGAATCATCCCTGGTACTGTGACACATCATGTAATAATCTTTGCCTTTCTCCCAAAGCCACTAGCCTTCGGTCAGTGAGCGGTTCTTTGACATTCTTACATGGGAGTGGTTTACCTGCATCTTCTGTGGCTTTGATACAGAAATAGTGCTGTTATTTCTCTATCTGGGATTTATAGCATTTTAAATTTATATTGTGATATAAAGGACAGTTTTTGAGGTTTTTTATGAAAATAGGTTTGCATACTCTTATAGTAGTAAGTTTTCAATAGCTTAAGATCTCATTCACTGTAATCACATGCAAAGTCACTAACCTCTGTGTTTTGTTTTTTATATTTTGTTCGTTTGTTTAGCAGGCCCGGGCCACCCCTGATGCTCGGGGCTGGCTCTCTAACCATTGAGCTATGGGTGCCCAACCTCTGTGTTTTGGTTGTTTATTTATTTAGTTAGTTAGTTTCAGAGAGTCTCAAGCTGTTGCCCAGGTAGAATGCCATGGCGTCATAGCTCAAGCAGCCTTCAACTCTTGGGCTCAAGCCATCCTCTTGCCTCAGTTTTTCTATTTTTAGTAGAGACAGAGTCTCGAACCTGTGACCTCAAGCAATCCTCCTTCTCGGCCTCCCAGAGTGCTAGGATTACCAACATGAGCCACTGTGGGTGCCTGGCTTAGTTGCTTCGTATTTAAAATGAGGAAAAGAATAATCCCTACCTCAGGTTTCTTGCAGAGATTAATACTCAATAAATGTTCATTAAGCATTAGCTACTGTTAGTTACTGTTGTTTTAGGGTAAAGGAAGGTAGATGGGGCCATAATAGTGCAGGGGAAACTAAAAGTTTTAAATATTTAAGCGATCTTATAGATAATCAGATGAGTTGTTTTAAGCCCTTTGTTGCAGTTTGATGCCTACTAGTACCAGACTACTAGGATGCAGTGATTTCCCACCAGTGTCTGGCAAGAGGATCTTAGGTGTGCCTTGAAAAACATTTTTTTGAGACAGAGTCTCACTATATCACCCTGAGTAGAGTGCTGTGGCATCACAGCTCACAGCAATCTCTTAACTCTTGGGCTTAAGCAATTCTCTTGCCTCAGCCTCCCAAGTAGCTGCGACTACAGGCACCCTCCACAACGCCTCCTGCCTTTTTCTTTTTCTTTTTTTTTTGGTTGTAGTTGTCATTGTTTAGCAGGACCAGGCTGGGTTGGAACCTGCCAGCTCCAGTGTATGTGGCTGGCACTCTAGCCTCTGAGGTAAAGGCACAGAGCCTGCCTTGAACATTTTTAAAGATGGTTAATTATTTTCCAAAGATGTTCAAAGCACAGTAAGTATATTCTTACTTTTCCTTTTTTCTTTCTTTCTTTTTTTTTTTTGATCAGCATAATTAAAGTGTATCCCGGAAGTTTAACTCTAGGCTTAAGTGTGTAGTAAGATTTAAAAAAGTTGAAAAGCACTATACTAGGTCATAGTGGCTAGAAACAATATTTTTGAGACCTGATTTTAGTAAAGAAGCAAATAAGATTTAACAATGTTAGGGGGATCTTAATGCCCCATAATTTACTGAAGTATCAAGCAAAATAGTTAAGGGATTATGGAAAATAAAACCATTGCTTTGTTACTACTACAATGTTATGTGGAGAAATAATGCTCAGAAGGGTTAGATTTGGAAGCTACTCAATTGCATTTCCCTACTATACCACTAGATGGCAGATACTCCATTTAAAATTTTTTTCTATTTGTGTGTTTTCTCGTGTAGTCACAGGTGGTCCATTCAACAAGCAGAGTAACACATACTAACAGGCTCTTTGGAATGCAATATTGGATTAAAAACTTAATTAAACTACAATTCAGTATACTGACTGAAGTTTTTCTTAAGTATAACAGTTATAACACTAATTGCTAATCTTTACATCCATAAAACATAATGGAGTGGTAATGTAACTGGTTACTTGTGACTTTTCTAGTTGGAAGTAAAGTAGTACTGAATCTTAGAACCAGAATAATTTTCTATTTTGGCTGGGAATGGAATCAGTTAATATTCACACTGGGAAAAAATTAAATTTAGGAATCATAGCTTAATATAGTATGGTGAAGTTAATACTCAGGGACACTGGATTCTTGTGCCACAAGAATCTATTACTAAGCTGAGTACGTAACCCCTTTGGTCTTTGAACACTTTGTAAAGTCATGATTAGGATTATTACACTTGATCTACCCAAAAGGCTGAGAATTGATCATGATTAGGGTTATTAATAAAAATATTTATTAATGTTTGGTAGAATAAATGATCAGGAAGAGCAGACTCCTCAATTAGATTCTGTGGTCTGCTCTTTTTATTTAGTAACTTAAGAATATTTTGCTTTAAACATTGCAGAAATATGTAATTATTTCTAAAGTAAAGTTGATAACAGAATTCTGACTAGGTAAAAGTTCTGGCCATGCCCATCTGGTAACCAGTGGTTTGTGTTTAGGAATGAGTTGAACAAAGTTATGATTATAATCTGAGACTCTAATTTCTTTGGGGGTTGTGAATTTCTGGTTCTCTTCATCAGTCAGTAGCTTTCAGGGTTCTCTCTTTTATCACCTAAATAATCATCTTTTTGGTTGTTTCTTCAGAAATAAACATTTCAAGCATCACTTCTAGTCATGTGGCATATACTTCCTAGGGTGATGTATAGGTAAAGCTTTCCAAAAAACAAGGAATTCTGTATGGAGAGGCAATTCCTAAGGTAAAAGAGAACAAATTATGAAAACTGCTTCTACTTAACACACACCAACAAGAAGTATTTCTGGCAACCAATAACTAATATTTGATTTAAAGAGACAAGAATTTACTTGATTTTTTTTTTCAATTGCATTTATATGTCCTTAGGTGAGAAAGGCACTTAGCAAATCTCCTATTCTGAAGTCTAGCAGGAAAGTTGAGCGTGTGTTTGACAAGATTCTAGGTGAGAGCCAAGTGTTGGAGAGTGCCTCTGTGCTCCGGTAGTGGATTTCAGCCATGCAGGTGCAAGGGTGGAAGACCTACATCTCATCGTGTTTCAAAAGTTACACGTTAATATTATTTAAAAGGCTGAATTTGTAATGTCCGTAGGATTTAGGTATGTACTTTTCTACTCCACATCTAAATAAGAAAGTTTGGGCAAGTAGGTGCAAAGAGCTTACTCTAAATACCTGCAATGGGCATACAATATTTTCCAGGAAAAGCATTTTTCTACAATCCAAAGTCGAAATAATAACTAGCTATCATCCTCCCTTTCAACAAAATATGTACTGTTATTTTCAAACACATTTGTTTGTATAGTTTAATGTTCACATGTCATAGACTTAGGTACAATTTCTGTGCTATTTCCTTTCGTTGCTGAATCTGCTTTTGAAATCTGTTTTGTTTGAAATCCAAATTGACATATGATACATCTCTAAACAAATGGTAAAGCATTGAGCTTAATTTAATAACTCCTTCACCATCCTATTTCTAGGGTTAGGAAGAAAACTCTGTAAGTCCATTTTATTTCCGGTCTATTTGTGGTTATGGTGGACAATTAATCTGATTTCCCAAACATGTTATGTAAGGTAAACAAACAGCCTCACTTAAAACTTGTTCATGTTTCTGATTGGACCCCCTCAAAACACCATCACTTAGAACAGCAACATGTAAAGAGCAGTGCGCTGGAAACAATACGTAGGGGTCTAGCTCCAGTCTTTACATCATGTAGCTTGGCTTTGGATAGTCCTTTAAGCCTCTGTGCCTCAGCTTACTAATCTATGGAAGTGATTAGGTAACAGCTGACAAATAACCGTGCTTTTCCACAACTCCTCTTTATTCCCTGTGCCTGGCATCACAGATTGATCATTTCTTTTTTTTTTTTTTTTTTTTTTTTTTTTTTTGAGACAGAGCCTCAAGCTGACGCCCTGGGTAGAGTGCTATGGCATCACAGCTCACAGCAACCTCCAACTCCTAGGCTCAAATGAGGCTCCTGCCTCCGCCTCCCAAGTAGCTGGGACCACAGGCACCCACCACAACGCCCAGCTATTTTTTGGTTGCATCCATCGTTGTTTGGCGGGTCCGGGCTGGATTCGAACCCACCAGCTCAGGTGTATGTGGCTGGCGCCTTAGCCGGTTGAGCCACAGATTGATCATTTCTTTCTGGACTTAAAACCTTTGTCAACCCAAACAGCCAGTACATTAATCAGAGTTGGCATGAAAGATAAAACATTTTTGCCTTTCCTATGCTACAAGATCTTTAAGGTCCAAAATTACAGTGTGCCTTTCCATCTTTATGTACAACAAATGTATTTCTTTGTTGTTGAATAAAATAGACTTACTAACAATTCTTTTTTTTTTTTTGAGACAGTCTCACTTTGTTACCCTCAGTAGGGTGCCATGGCATCATAGCTCACAGCAACCTCAAATTCTTGGACTCAAGTGATTCTCTTGCCTCAGCCTCCCATGTAGCTGGGACTACAAGCACCCATCATAATGCCTAGCTATTTTTGGAGATAGTAGTCTCAGTCTTGCTCAGGCTAGTCTCAAACCCATAAGCTCAGGCAATCCACCTGCCTTGGCTCATGTAGTGCTAGAATTACAGGTATGAGCCACTGTGCCTGGCCAGAAAATGTAACTTTTTCCTCATATCTAAGCATTTACTTAT